GAAGTCAGGGAATTTGCAGTTTAGGAAGACATATTTACAATTCTCAACCAAGGAGTTCTAGTGCTTCCCCAAATTACAAAGCCTATGATCCCAGAGGAGGCAGCCATGGCAGTTAAAGTGGAATCACAGTGCTGTAGTTGTGTAGTGCGAAAGGACCCTTATCCTGAGAGTTAGAAATTCATCAGGAAAGGCTTTCCTATCACAGCATCCCCAGGGCTGCAAAAGCTTCTTCACCTGTTCATTTCTGCCTCTCGTGCAGCTGTCCAAAGCAGCCAAGCTCTGCCAATAGGCAGAAAGAGAGTGTGTGTTGTGCATGTGTATGTGTTGTGTTTGTGTATGTATATGTGTTACCACCCTACCCCAGTTCTACTCTCTGAAACCACATTTATGTTTGGAAAGCAGGATGATCCATGTTGCCAAATTCATCTCGGAACAGATGCAAAGTAGTAATAATCACGCTCCTGCATACATGCAGAATTGCCAACCAAGTAGTCACATTTACATATATTTAGAATGGTAGGGAAGGGCTTCTAGGCAGGCCAGGAGGATGGATTCTTTAAAAAACCAAAACCATATGTGAGCAAACAGCCTAAAGACCCTAAAGGTACCAGATCCTCTAGGTTAGTGCTTGGATGGGACTACCATTGAGTACCAGGTGCTGTAGGCTACATTTTGGAGGAAGGACCTGGCAAAACCACCTCTGAATTATCCTTGCCTAAGGATTTTATCCCACCAGCAAAAAAGACGGGAGCATATTGTGTAATCACGGGATGATTATCGCATGACGTTGTGATTAACCCATGGATAAAGAGGAATTCTAGTGCCAATTTTTATTCACAAAAAGAGGCACTAGAATTCCTCTTTATTCACGGGATAATCGCGACATTGCATGACACCGTGTGATAATCATCTCGTGATCGTGCAATACGGACGGGAGCATCCCGCTCCTTTTAAGATGGCAAGCTGTGAAGGACAAAATGGTGCATGCGCCATGCCGCGCGCAGGAGTGTACCCCCATTAAAATCAATGGGGCTCCAATATTGGCAATTTTCCCAGTTCATGGATGTGTCCATCCGGAATGGATCCCCCGTGAATTGGGAGAGGCGACTGTATTATATATAGCGATATCGATGAACATGACACTTTACAACAGAATAAAACATTTATAACTACTTCGATATAACATACTACTAGAGTGCAATACTGAAAATGCAGTTGTAAAATATAATAATAAACTATAATGTAAAAAATATGTGGTTCTCAAACAGTAGGGCAGGGACCCCAGGGAGACACCAGAGTTGCTCAAGGCATGGAGGCTCTGATCCACCCTCCTCCTCCTCCCAAACTTTTTTAATGTGTAAAATTTGCAGATGATTGAGTTAAATATTGAATTTGCTGCAATAAAACTGTTCCAATTTGAACGATGTTGTTTCCTTATAAAAGGTTACAATATGAATGAATATACATGAAGGTGCAAATGGAAATACGCACACACTTAATAAACAAAATGTTTTTATTCATATACTACGGTAAGTGTGGGAGGATGCGACATCTGCATGTAGATGTAAAGGTGGGGTCCCAAGGTTAAAATGTTTGTGTGTGTGTCTGTGTTTTGTATGCCTTCAAGGTGTTTGAGACTTATGGCGACCCTAAGGCCATATCATGAGGTTTTCTTGGCCAGATTTGTTCAGAGGAGGTTTGCCATTGCCTTCCAATGAGGCTGAGAGAGCATGACTTGCCCAGGGTCACCCAGTGTGTTTCATGGCTGAGCAAGGATTCGAACCCTGGTCTCCAGAGTCCTAGTCCAACACTCAAACCACTACGTCACACTGGTATTCGTTGGTAAATACCTTTCCTTATAGCATTAAAGAGGTGTCAAGCTGCACTACTTCTGCAGTGCAGATTAAATATCAAATTGCAGTGATATCAAAAAGACCTGCGGGACTTGATCCTTGGAGAATCTTCTTATCTTTTTCTTTTCTGTGCAACTATGGGGGCTTGAAACTTGTATCTGATTTGAACCCTGGTCTCCAGAGTCATAGTCCCATGCTCAACCCACTCCTCCCCATTGTTTGGGTACCACTGCATGAAGGCTACGGGGCAAAAATTGGGGGGTTGTGGTTTATAGATTTAACAAAGGCTCTCCGCACTATACACATATGTTTTGTGAGTATTGTCCCACTGCCTTTTGTCTGCCTGGATTCGTATGTATAGAGTCTCCTGCCTGTGACCCACTTCCACTGACCTCTCCATTAAAAACAACAACACACAATCCTAATCCTTCCAGTAAGAGGATGAGTCGCTTCGTCTTTAGGGTTGCCAGGCAAGCTTGGGGCAACCCAGGCTGGTGCCATCCTTCCCTCTCTTTAACACACAAAGACACAAACACATCTGGTGATATGGCAAACTTATCAGGCTGCTTGGTTGGGACAGTAACACAAATTTATACTCCCAGACTCCTCTTGTCTAAAAAATTTTTTTAAAGCCCCAGGAATTTGGTTTTTAGCTCTGCAGACTCCTTCCCTTGCTATGACCCTGGCCTTTTCTCTTTTCTCCGGAGGAAAGAGATTGCAAAGTTATGGGTCAGCATCTTTTTGTGGGTTTTGTTCTTTTTTTAAAAAACCCACTTGGTTTTGAAAGAAGGCAGCTGCTTCCAACAAAGAGAGAAGAAGAAGAAGCAACAACATTAAGGCTGCATCTGGACTGCAGAAATAATGCACTTTGACACCGCTTTAACTGCAAAGAGAGGAAAAGCAACATCACTATGGGTGCATCCTAAATAGTCCTAAAAGTATGAGATAGTCCTGGAGATTATCCTAAATATCCCCAAAGAAATCTTTATGAGATATGAAATAGTCCTAAAAGTACGAGATAGTCCTGGAGAAATCTTTAGGTGAAGGGTTTACAATCATAAGACTGTGAGAAAAGGACACAGTTTGCTTTTCATCTCTCCCTGGACATCTTGTTTCTGATCTTCCGCTGTTTATAATCCTCCAACTGTCCTGGTTTGGAAAGGACAGATGTGGTTAATCCTCTGCTGTCCCACTATTTCAGCTGCTTTTAAAATGTCCCAGTTTCTCTCTCTTCCTCCCACTTTCCTCTTTGGTCCTCTGCTTGCTTCAGGTCCTGCAAACTGAGTGCCAATTGCAGAAGTTGTTTGCACCCAATTCACTCAGAAGGAGGAAGGTAGCGGGCAGAGTGTTGCCCTTCCTAAGGGCAATATGGTATATAAATTCCTGAGTTTCTCTGCTTAAAATATTAGTTTTGAGTGTTTTTCTGCTTCATTGATAACTTTTTCTCCCCCTCTTGCTGCCTGTGGCACTACTTTAATGCGGCTTGGCCATCTGTGTCCAGTTTTTAATCTGTAAAACGTTGAAGGCATGAGTGTTTTTGCTGCCAACATTTTCAAACAGATCTTTGGAACGTGAGATGAAAGAGAAGGCTCAAGTGAAAGAAGGATGGCATTCCTCGGAAACAAGCAAATTTCTGCAGATGGAACAAATAGGCCCTGGATAACCCACTGGCTTTCCAACCCACAGAGTGTCTCTCTGTGCATGCTCTCTTTTGTGTAAGAGCCATTGCAATGTTGATTTTAAGTTAATTAGAGTTGCCCCCTGTTCTTGGAAAAAAGCCTAGCCTAAACTTTTACTTTTGCACAAAAGGTTTTTTCATGGTTTGGAATGAACCCTAATGACTTGCTGATTTATTTACTGCTGGACGCCCCGGAGATAAACAAAACAAGTCAACAAAACCAGCAACCCTAGTGGTCATTATTTCGGTGCAATCCAACCCTGGAGTTGCCAACTCTTCTATTAGCCAAGTCGACTTGCACTGAGCAGCAGCTGGATGTTTAGACAATATTTACGCTGTAAAAAGTTTCGCCCGCTGATTTCCAGAGATGATGCTGTTTTAAAAACACAAGAGCAAGCTGGAGGGTGTGGTGGTATGTTTTCCCCGCTGCTTGCTGAAGTTTGCGGGGATATGAAGAACATATTTTCGAGTTAATGTCTGCAGACGACATTGATAGAGGCACAGAGGCAAAGGCTGGCCTAAAACTTGGCAGTGCTAATGCATAGAGGATTACTGCTGCAAGGTTATTGTATTATTATTATTATCATTATAAACAGCAGTAGCAGCAGCCTCATTCTTCTCCTGGGTTGCCATTAGGATCCGATTCAGAGCTGCCAACTGGACCAGCTCCCGCTGCCTTTTAACAGCAGCCTGACGCACAAAATTGACAGGTAATGCTTTCCATTCCTCTTATCTCCCTTCTATGAAAAGCTTCAGCGCCTTAATTTCTATGTGTCAGCCTCCTTCTAAATGGGCAAGAGCGGCAGCACTGAAAAGGTAGCAATTCTAACCGCATCCCAAGGATGCTTTTTTGGGGAGAAGTTTTTCCATTTAGGCTTGCCAGGTTCTGCGGGGTTTCTGAAAGCGACAGAAATTAGGAAGTGAAGCTTTTAGGAAAGAGGAAAGGAACATTTTCATGTGCTCATGCCTGCGCATCGAGGCTGAGCTACAATGGCATGCTGCAAAGCTAGCAGCACCAGAGCCACAGATCTTGTTACGCACACCTTTGGATTACATAGTCAGCGGTGATGATGTTAGAGTCACAGACCTACATCCTGTCTTTTAGAGCTTGTCTTCTTGTTGTTGTTAACTGGCACCCAATTCATGGTGACCCTGTGGATGAGACATCTCCAAGACCTCCGTCTTCCGCTGCTCTGCTTAGGTCTTGTAGATTCATGCCCATGGCCAGGATGGCTAAACTGAGGCTGTCGTACTTTGGCTACATCACGAGAAGGCATGAATTATTGGAAAAGACAATAATGCTAGGAAAGGTGGAGCGAAGTAGAAAGAGAGAAAGGAGATTATCAGACGGGGGGTTGAAATCGGGGAAGAAAAAGGCATACTCTCTGGATAATTGTGCTGAAGATTTTCACACGACGGAGATATCAGACAAGGGAAAATCAGGGAAGAAAAAGGCATACTCTTCACAAAGTCATGCGATTGCCCTGAAGATTTTCAGATGACATTGTGCTTATCCAGGACTTAATCCATGAAGATCCAGGAACACTCCAACAATAAACCATTCCTGGGACTTGACATGGGTTAAGTCTTGGATAAGTGTGATGTGTCTGAAAATCTTCAGCGCGATTGCGTGACTTTGCCGGGAATATGCCTTTTAGTCCTGGCTTTTTCTCCCATCTGATAATCTACCCTGTCGCACTTATCCAGGATTTATCTTGGGAAGAACCAGGAATGCTCCAGCAACAAACCATTTCTGGGACTTCCCTCTGAATGATTTATTGCTGGAGCATTCCTGGATCTTTACGGGAGAAGTCCTGGATAAGCGCGATGTATCTGAAAATCTTCGGCGCAACTTTGCTGGGAATATGCCTTTCTCTCCCGGCTTTTTTTTCCAGGTCTGAAAATCTCCCAAGACCATATGCCAAATAGATAGACTCAGTTAAGGAGGTCATGGACATCTACAAGACTTAAGCAGAGCAGTGGAAGACAGGGTTTTTTGGAGATGTCTCATCCACAGGGTTACCATAAATTGGGATTGACTTGAGGGCAGTCAACAACAAACAACAAGAGGCAAAACCCACTAACTGTAGTCCAATGTTGGGAGCAAGAAAATCCCAAAGACCCAAGTCCCAGTCACCCAGCTCCCCTTTGGATTGCTTTCCCTTTTAAAAATGTAATTAAATTTTAATAAGAAAGCTGCGATTATCAGGATGTTGAAATCTCCATCACCAAGAGATGTACAAAATGCACTCCCCTCCCGTGTTTTTGTCTTATCGTTTCGGCTCCTAGCACAAGGACGCTTTTCATCATCTTGTAACTTTGAGTTCAGATAACTGAGCTCAGGGCATGATGGATGACACTGAAATCTCCATCTCCATCTCCTCCTTGCCACTCCCAACCCAACTATCCAACTCATTACTTTAATTTGCCTTGGTTTTATATTTTTCTTTCATGCTTAATTAGAGCCTCTTTTAATTGCTCAGAGATTTTTGGCTGGAAGGCAACTGGGGAAAGTATAGGATTAAAAAAAAGGAGGAGGAAGAGGGGGAAAAGATACATATTTATTAGCATTTTCTCTCTACTCAACAGCAGCATTAACAGAACAGACTGCATTCCAAAGTTCTAGTACTGTGTATTTTGGTGCGGGCAATTAAAAACAACCTTCCCCGCCCTCCCCTCTTTATTCCCAGCTCATTAATATATTTATTTCAATAACTGTACTTAGTATTTCTTAAATCATATGTGAGCATACGGTTCTTAGAGCTTGGAAAAGTTACTTCTCTGAACTGCAGCTCCCTGGATCTGTCAGCCAAGGAGCTACTGCTTATGCTGGTTAGGAGATTCTGGGAGCTGTAGCTCCAAAAAGTAACTTGTGTGCCAGCTCTTGAATATTTTCCATGAGAAGATGAAAAAGTCCTTGGCATGTGTTGGCTCTTTAAGACCAAAGCAGTCTGAGAACCCTGTCCAGAGTACAGAAGAAATATGTTGAAATATGTAATTCCGATAATGGAAATGGGAGTAAAGGTAGGTTTTAGCATAGTCTGTGCAATTCCAGTTGGGTTCCAAAATCTCAGGGCTGTCTCCAGTTCTTAGGGCAAGGCGAGAGATTTCTTAGATTTGTTAGATCTTTAATAAAAATAATTGCATGGTATACTCTGCATACCTGTAGTTGAGGCTCACTTCATCATGAATGATGCCATCACCAGGGACTTTTCTTTGTAACATCAGCCTTAGGATCTCCTCTAACTCTGTGATTCTGCAACACGTTACATCTGAAATGGGACTCTTCACAATGCAGACTTT